GGGCTAGCTTCTACTTTCTCCTCTCTTGCTGCCCTTGTCCAGCCCACCACCTTTCTATATATCCCCCTTCTAAAATATTTCTTCAGTTTGTCACCTTATCTCCACTCACTGCTGCCACACCAAGCCACATTTCCTCTGTTTTGCTGCAATCATTTCCTCCAGATTCCCTCCACCCTTTGTGCTGTTAATCTGTTCTTCACTGAACGACAAGATCTTTTAAACTATTAAATGGATTCCTATCACTCTGTTTCAGTTCTTTCAATGTCTGTACAGTGCATGAACCCCAAAGAAGAGAGTATGTCAAGTAAGTACTATACTACTATGTCCAATGGACTGAGAATATATTTTTTCATCCGTAAAACAGGAATAATGATACCCACATCAAAGTGTTGTTGTGAGAAGTCAGTAGAGGCCAATGTTATTTCTGCATTCCTTTTATATCAGCTTTTGCAGGGAAGAAGGTAACATTCAGTGAACATTTGTATTGTTAATAGCTACTTTACATTCCCCAATTAGTACCACCTACAGAGAACCTTCTAAATGTTTTAGTGACAGTGTTTTCATTTGTATTGTTTTGGCCTCACAGTAAAACATCTGCTTTAATTAAAAGATAAAGTTTCGAAAAATTATGGAAGGGGCACCTGGCTGGGTGGGGAGGCGACCAACTTCGGCTCAGGTTGTGATCTCATGGTTCGTGGGTTTGAGCCTTGCATCAGGATTTGTGCTGACAGCTCAGAGCCTGAAGCCTTCTTCAGATTCTGTGTGTGTATCTCTCTCTCAGACTCTCTTTCTCTACCTATCTCTCTTTCTCTCTTCCTCAAAAACAAATAAACATTAAAAAATGTTTAAAAAATGGAGCAAACTAAGTTCAATGGAAAACACAGGACAGAGTGAAAAAAATAATTCCAAGTGTCTTCAGATCATGTTTTTAAAGTTTTGACATGGAAAATGATTAGGTGATGTGGTTGATGCAATGCTACGTCATAAAAATTGAACCACTTTTGGCAAATACATGATTTCATTGATCTGAATTCCTCTTTGCCTGGAGCTGTGTGGGACAGTCAAGTTTCCAAAATAGCATCATGAATTCAGCAGCCATCGTCATAGCAGTCCCTGTGGCCCTTCTTTTTTCAATTCACAAGTTCCAATTTAGAAAACATTGCAGTGAGAATGAATCTAGAAAATCTGCTAAGACTGGTGTCTTGAAAAAACCAGGAGTGAAGGTGAGAGGCTGCCCCTGCAGGTACAAGGAGCTGTCTTTATGGGACTCTGAGTCAACCCTTCATCTGTGCTACTTTTTTTTTTTTTACTAGATATTTGTGAAACTTACAAAATCACTCCATGATGAGCTCCTTGGTTGCTTACAGTTTCATTGTGAGCTGCAGGTTTTGGCTTTTCATGAGCTAAGTTGGTTCTGGACCATTATAAAAAAAGAAAAAGAAGAAAAAGGGTGAGGAGGAGAAAGAGAGATTATATCTTTATAACACAACCCTCATTTTTTATCTCCAGGAATAAGAATAGTTCAGCTGTCATCACACCACAAAGTAGTGAATTCTCCCGTTTAGGATATACTTGTACTCAATATACAACAAGTACATCTTCTTTTCAATTAAGAAAAGTGTTTAAAATAAAAAGTAAAAATTAGAAGGGTTATGAAAAAAGAGAGACAGCTTTGTTCCTCAGTGGTATCTAGTAAATATTTATTGAGAACCCACCACGTATGAGGCACTGTGCTAGTTTGGCATCAACATGTATATGTACAAACTGGAATCACTGGAAAGGACTCTGCAGTACACAGTCCAAACTCATAGACAACTAAACGAGCCCTAGTGGAGAAAGTGACTTAGACAAAGTAACACGAGTAGTCCCAATAGCTGAAACCAGGATATAGTCTCGTAAAGTAAGGTAGATTCCCAGTTCTCATGAGTATAATTTTAATTAAATATATTTCTCATGTAAAAGTGATGCTTTAGGAGAGCACTGAGTGGAAAGAGTGGATTGCTCCATGAAACTACTTCCCCCTCTCCTAAAGCCCCACACAAACTACAGCAAAGGGATTTTGTAAGGAGTGGGTCAACATAGACAGGAAAAAGGTAGAAAGAGACAATAACAAGATCTGAGCAACCGAAAAAAATGTACAAAGGGCCAATGACTTAGTGGATCTGGGAAAAAGAGCAAGCTCCTGTGTCCAGCTGTAGAAGTTGTGCACTATCCCAATCCAGCCACCACTGCTCACTGAGACTCCAAAGTGAAGGCTTTCTCTGGAGTGGTACCAAGCACAGCCTGCACAACAAAAAGAGTGAAGATTTTATAAACATAAAAGACACAGGTATTTAGCCAGCCTAACATGTATTCTGTTGTGAAGTGTGAGGTAGGGATCCACTTTCACCTTTTTCTAAATGACCAGTTACATTTTCAAATGTTAAATGCTTTTCTCTTCCTGTTTCCAAAGTTTTATTCTAGCCATTGATCTGTCTATATTTCTATGAACCTCATGCACGTATGGGCCTAGGAAACATATTAGAGTTCAGTCTTTAGATTAGGTATATGTCCCTGTGAAACAGCCCATTTCTCTCAAACTGATTCTTTTTTTTAAATTTTTTAAAATGTTTTATTTATTTCTGAGAGAGAGAGAGAGAGAGAGACAGCGTGAGCAGGGGAGGGTCAGAGAGAGAGGGAGACACAGAATCTGAAACAGGCTCCAGGCTCTGTGTCAGCACAGAGCCCGACGCAGGGCTCGAACCCACGAACCGTGAGATCATGACCTGAGCTGAAGTCGGACGCTTAACCGACTGAGCCACCCAGGCGCCCCTCTCAAACTGATTCTTAAGGCCATAACTCTTTGTTAGTTCTGTTTGTCTCTTTTTAAACATCTTAAAGAATTCACTGTCCTTCATAAAATTCATATATTCTCCTTAATTATACTTCAACATGAAGAAAATTATATCGGTGTTTATCAGAGCCAAAGTATTAGAACCATCAGCTTCTTGGGGCACCTGGGTGGCTCAGTCAGTTGAGCATCCCACTTCGGCTCAGGTCATGGTCTCACGGTTTGTGAGTTCAAGCCCCGCATCAGGCTCTGTGCTGACAGCCAGCTCAGAGCCTGGAGCCTGTTTCGGATTCTGTGTCTCCCTCTTTCTCTGACCCTCCCCTGCTCATGCTGTCTCTCTCTCTCTCTCTCTCAAAAATAAATAAAAACATAAAAAAAAAAAAAAAGAAAGAACCATCAGCTTCTTTAGTACTTAGGCATTTTGTTGATCTAATTGTATGTTTCTTTGGCACAGTAATGGGACACGCACGATCTTTTGGTTTTAAAGCTGCCTTTTATGCAGTTGAGCACCTCAGCCTTCCTTCAGACTCCCCAGCTTGACCTTGCATTAGTCATATTTAAATATGATCTGATGTCTATCTGCAGAAGAGCTCCTCTCACGTTCAGACATATCTGTCTCTACATGGTATTGCTAGTGCTTAAAAGATGCTTCCTTCTCATTCATCGGGCTAAAACATGAGTTAGGACTCAACTTAGATGTCACACCCAACGGGAATCCTTTGACTCAGCAGGTAGTTACGTAGCCTTCTTCCCTGCTCCAATAACACCAAGTGTGTCTGCCAGCGTTATGTGTGTCTCATTGTGTGGTGATTGACTATCTAATGGTGTGCCAGCATACTAGACAGTGAGCTCCTTGAAGATAGGAATTGTCTTGCTCTTACCTATGTCCTTGGCATCTACCACAATCCTTTTGCACATAGTGGGGACTCATTATGTCTTGAGTAAATGAATGACACTTGTTCATTGAAGAATGTTTGGAAGTAAAACTGAAAAAAAATTTTTTTAAGAAAACGAATATAAGTCCTCAAACGTGAGACAACTCTTACTGATGTTTTAGGCTTCCTTGCTTCTTGTTAACTTTCTCATCAGCCTCACTGCCTATAAAGCTTTGAATACTTCTGTTTTTACTTAAGAGAATCCTGTGAGCACTTTCTTATGTAACTACAAATTCTTTGGAAATGCCACTTTAATTATTACAACAAGATTGTCCTCTAGATGACAAAAACTGAGGACTGATGGGTGTGGGGGGGAGGGGGGGATGGGCATGGAGGAGGGCACTTTGGGGATGAGCACTGAGTGTTATGTAGAAACTAATTTGACAATAAACTATTTGGAAAAAAAAAAAAAAGATTGTCCTCTAGAAGTAACACATTGTACCAGATATGCTATATTGTTGGACTTTGTTACTTGCAGTGTTTTGCTGCTATAAATAATGCTTAAATGAATATTTTTGCATCTCTGATTATTTCTCATTATACATTCTGGAAATGAAAATGTCATAGTTCTACATGTACTATATCAAAGTACATGCCTCAGTGTAATACTGTCCTTTCTTAAAGAGTGAAGATTTTATAAACATAAAAGAGTAGCCTACTTTTTCCCTGTATTTATCGGTCGTTTATATTGTATTGCTCTGTGAATTGTGTAATAGTAATCTGTGCCCATTTTCCTGGTGAGTTTTTCTTACTGATTTAAAAGTTCTCTATATGTTGAAACTATACCCCTTTGTGAAATTTTCACAAGTATTTCCAGTTCGATGTGTGCCTTTTGATATTATGTTTCATGTTTTTAATATTTTGTTGATTTTTATGCATACTTATCAATCTATTCTGTGAGCTGCTCAACTGCTTTTCCACATATAATTTCTTGCCCTAGTTTAATATATTAGGTATTTTTCTACTTAGATATATACTTATAAGATACATCTTCTAGCTATATTCATTTCTTTTTTACATTTAACTTTTTCACCTCTTTAGGATTTATTTGGGGCTATAGTGCGAGATGAGGGATTTTTTTATTGTTTTGTTTTTTTATTTTTACAAAAGAGCCAGTTTTTCTAAGACCTTTTTCTTGGCCATCAAAGAAATGGTATTAAAGACAATTGCATTCAAATAGCCAGCATCAAAAAAACAGTTCAATGTTCACCATGAACTTTGCTTTCTCCTCCCAGGCGAGCAGGAGCCAGCTGTAAGCAGTGACTCTGACATCTCGCTGATTATGGCGATGGAAGTTGGACTGTCTGATGTAGAACTTTCCACTGACCAAGACTGCGAAGAGGTGAAATCTTGAAATGATACACATAGAAAAAAGGGATAGTAGGACCCAAGGGGAAGGAAGGGAGGAGTGCCTCAAGACTTGGACCAGGCACACGCACCTCCAGAATACCTTGGTAACCCCACGACGCTCCACTCAAGAATGGTAATGAAAGCAATATCCAAAGTCACGTCCATCAGGATGCCGTTTCTCCATCCGTACAACAGTCCAGGGCCTTGGCAGCTTGGAACACAAAAGCCAATTTTCCCTCCCATGTCCTTGTAGACACACACTTCAGGAGCTCCTAAAACACACAGAAAGGACACATGTAGGGCTTCTTAGTTTCATGTCCATTTTTTTTCCAGGTCTTGTTTTATTGTTTTTGGAATGTTGTTGGATTTCTCTGGCAGTGTCTTTTTAAGACCATGTGTAGTTTACATTACATCCACTCCTTTGGTTTCCTCCAGCTTTTGCAGAGAGTTCTGTTTAGAAGCACCAGTTCCTGCTATGATTAGTTTGTACACCATCTCTGAGGTTTATGGCCTTGACCTCTCAGCATGAAGTGTGCATGGCTTTGGGAAGTGCCTCAAGCACCCTGAGACAGTCTAAGGCCAGCTCTCATTAAGAATCTAAATTCTTCTAGGTGGATCTTAAAAATCCTAGCTGCCAGAGCTCTGAATCCACGAAGGCTACTACTCGCTATTTTCCTCTACATCATGCTGGCTTCCACTTTCGGGGCTCTGTCAATGGCCCACGTGACATGAGAAGGAAGCCCTAGGGAGGCACTTGATTCGGCCTGGATCTTACAGTCTTTGGTGGAAATTCGAAACTCAGAAGTCCCCTCCAGGGCAGCAGCGCCATTCTTCAGGACTGTAGGGCTTGTAACTGGGACTGCAAGCCTAGTTTTAAGAGCAGATACCACGTATTCTTCCCCAAAGCGAATGTCTGTGATATTGGTCTCCCCATAGCTAGATCAGTCTTTTGTTACCTCCACAAGTGGCTTCTGCAGGAGACGGAGGCTTCAGAAGATATCCAATCATCTTTGAGCCCTGTATCCAACACGGGGGGGGGGGGGGGGTACAGCCTTTACCTTAATTCTAACACACTTCTGTTGAACCTCGCCAGACCTCAAAGAAGGGCTCAGGTGAAAGCTTTCCAGGGCTCCCTGAGTATATCCAAATACCAGGGGAGGAGGGACGTGTGATTTGATAAGCCATTTGATCTTAAAAGTACAGCATGGGAATTTGCTAACCTGATAGAGAGAAACAAAGAGGGAAAGGAAAAGAGGTATCAAATCAATCCTAAAACCCACCGGCGTTTTTAAACTCCTTATGTTTTTATTCTTCTTTTTTAACAAAGACAGAGATGTGCTATTTTTTCAGTGGGCAGTTTTGTAATAAGTTTAGACTATCCGCATGCAGCGATGACTAAGGGAATGGATGCTTTCCCTGGACAATCACAGGTCACATCCTCTGTAAGAAGGCCGTGCGGCTGTGTGGGTTACTAAGAAGGAAAGCTTTCCTCATTGAGTTATTTACATATTCGATGAGGATTTGGTTGAATTTGGTTGTGCCCTAAATACCTGCTGCCTGCTGAAGCATAAAGTGTATGCCAGGGGCGACCACCGGTTGCTTTTTTCACCATCTTTTAACGATTTCCTGTTGATGCTCTCTAAGCAGTCAGCAAGGCAAGGAAAGTAATTACCATCTTCAGACATGTCACATCTCCCTGGGCATCTAACACCTCCTATAATGAAATCTGGTGTCCATGTGTGAAGGCAGGCAGGGAGGGATGAAGACAGCACTGAACAGAGCGTCAAGAGTCTTGGATGAGGGGCGCCTGGGTGGCTTAGTCGGTTAAGCGTCCGACTTCGGCTCAAGTCATGATCTCACAGTTCGTGGGTTCGAGCCGCCCGTCAGGCTCTGTGCTGACTGCCAGCTCAGAGCCTGGAGCCTGCTTCAGATTCTGTGTCTCCCTCTCTCTCTGACCCTCCCCTGCTAATGCTGTCTCTCTCTCAGAAATAAATGAAACATTTAAAAAATTTAAAAAACAAAAAAAGGAGTCCTGGATGAGCAACATGCTTATTGGGCCTCATCTTCTCTATCTGTGAAATGAAGGAGTTTTAACATGATGATGCCTAAGGCTCCTTCTGACCTTTAGGCCACTAAGAGCTTTTTGCCTGGGGGCTACGTTTTTTTTTTTTTTTTTGAGATGGCCGATAGCTGACTCTATTCATACGTTAGGGAGGCGCTGACCTGACACATTCGGCACTCCTGCATTGCTGAGAATGAATGACTAAGTGATTGAAGTGTTAAGTCCACGGAGGAGTGGTTTGGGTTTGCCTTGTGTTACAGCTGCTGTTAGTGACAGAGTGTGTCATCTCCAGACACCTTCAAATCCTAGTTCTCGGTGTGGAATTCTTCATCCCAAAGTGTTGCTTTTTCTTGGCCAGCTAGAGCTACATCATGTATTCCTCCTCCATTCAGCTCGGCCTGAAACACATTTTGGTGTTAAGTCAAGTGGAACTAGAAGGATAATTCAATAGCAAAGGAAGTATATACATTGTATTCCATGCCCAGGAGAGAAAATGCCTTTTGGGTTGCAGAGTTCTCCGCGCGAGGAGTGTTCTCTTCCTGCCAGTGACCAGGTAAATTGAGAATTGGTTGTATATTATGCTGTGGCTATAGCAGCCCCTTATAGAATCCTGCATAGATAATGTGAGGGCCGTGACTTTACCACAAGGAGGTTCCACTGCAGAATCCCTGAGCCTAGGAGTCTTTCCATTTACCAAAGGCTGTTTCTGGAGGATCTTCATGGGGCTTCAGTAGTTAAAAAATAAAATAAAATAAAATAACCAGCATAGAAGGGTTTAAAAGAAATGAAAACCTTCTCCCGTGCTTCTGCACCACCTCTCCTGCAGAGGAAATTCTGACCCTCTAGAAGTAAATGCAAACTTTATGTGTATGTACAGATGTGCATTATTTTCTGTAGTGAGTATCCAGACCAGCGCTATCCAATAGAAATACAATGCGAGCCACATATGTACATTTTACATTTTCTACTGGCGACATTTCAAAAAGTAAAAAGGAACAGTTCAAAATCATTTTAATACTATAGTTAATCCTTTTGTTTCAACATGTACAAAGTATTAATGAAATACTTTACATTCTTTTGGGTACTAAGTTCTTTAAATCCAGTGTGTGCTTTACACTCAAAGCACGTCTCCTTAGACTGGCCACATCGCCAGCTGCACCCCAGTAGCTGTGCGTGGCCCCTGGTCCAGAGCAGAGCTGCTCCAGTATTCTCACAAGATTCCCTGACCCCTCGCAAAGAAGTGAAAACCTAATTACCTCCAGAGAGAACTAGACTCCACCCAAGTTGCCTAATGAGAGGCCCAAAGATCTGCTTGTTTTGTGATGCAAAAATATTCAGGCCATTCTTTTTGAAATTCCTGCTTGACCTTTCTAACCACACACTGATGTCCATTACTGGTACTGTTACTCCTCTGACCAGTTGTTTTTGGTTTTGGTTTTGTTAAGTCACACAACCATGTTGATTTGGTGCTGAAACAAAATTAGCTCCCTCACTTCTATGACAAACCCTTGACTGGTATGTGGCACTCGGGAACCGAAAAGAATTCCAGACTCTAGTCATCCAGCCTCACCTCAGTTCTCCTGCCTCCTGATTGGCAGAAGGTCTCTTCCCAGTGCCAGTGCCCCCTTGGGGGTTTGGGGGCGGGTGCCTGGGAAGTTACATACTGACTCCAAAGACAAGACTCTGAGTGGCCTTATTGAGAAGAAGTCTTTGGGCTTGTGACCATCCAGCCCTATTGGGTGAATCATGACAGCTTACAACTGCCAGCGCTCAACTCAGAAGTCAGCGACCTCTCTCACCCCAAAGCTGTGGGCAAGAAAAGGAGCATTTCCATTCCCTCAGAAAAACTGAGGGTCACCTCTAGGACTTGCCTCTCTGTGTGGCTGATTCTTTTAAGAAGAACTGAGCCCTTGGGGCGCCTGGGTGGCTTAGTCGGTTAAGCCTCCGACTTTCGCTTAGGGCATGATCTCGCGGTTCGTGGGTTCGAGCCCCGCGTCGGGCTCTGTGCTGACTGCCAGCTCAGAGCCTGGAGCCTGTTTCAGTCTGTGACTCCCTCTCTCTCTGACCCTCCCCTGCTCACGCTGTCTCTCTCTCTCTCTCCTAGAAANTAAATAAAAAACATTAAAAAAAAAAGAAGAAGAAGAACTGAGCCCTGATCATGAATACAGCATCTGAACATTGTTTTAGTCTCTGGGGCTTGGTCACCCCTGAAATATTAAGTCCATCACTGAAGCAAGAAGAGGGGGAGTTGGGAGGAGGCAGAAAGTGAATAGTGGGAGGGGTGCCTGCCTGGCTCAGTCCGTAGAGCATGCAACTCTCGATCTCGGGGTTGTGAGTTTGATCCCCATGCTGGGTGCAGATATTACTTAAAAACAAAATCTTTTTTAAAAATGATCAGTTACAAGACTTACCTGCCTACTGTGACATCACCTAGTCATGATGGTAACCATGGAGGCAAATCTCTGTCCAAATAGGTTGTTCTGTTTGTTTTGTGTCGTTTTCAGCATTTCCCTCATTCCGCTTGTTCACGTGTCTAGGTTCTTGCAACTGGCATACCTTCAGAACCAAACATGGTGGCAGATAGCCTAATATAGGATTCTTTCTTATTTATGAGTTATGTTTAGATGAAAATTCTTGCAGAGCATAAAAAATAAAAAGCATTAGTTATCCATTGAATCCATCACCTTGACTGAAAACAAACAAATCTCATTAAATCAAAACTCTTTCAGAAAACCTGAGATACAGAGTCACTTCCTCTGCAGAGCAAGGACCCAGCCCTCTGTGGTACTATTTTTTGTATGTTCTCACTTAGATTTCTTTCCCGTGTGTGTGTGTGTGTGTGTGTGTGTGTGTGTGTGTGTGTGTGTTGTATATCTATATCTATCTCTGGCTTCCTCTGACTGCCTGTCTCTTTCCTGTACGTATCCCTACGTACATTCTTTTCCCATCTTTCAGGACAAAAACCTTGGTGGCTTTGATCTGTAATTACCATTATTGTGATTACCGTTGTTACTATTGTTGGTGTTTTTCTTCTTTTCATTGTGTGGCAACGTCTATATATGCACTTCTGATGAGGAAAACCAGTTTACTATAAAGGCAAATCAACTTCCTCCATAATGGAGTTAGCCATGTTTTTGTTCACGTCTTTTTATCACTAATTGAATCACAGACCACCTATAGCTGTTGCCTTTTTTGCTGGCTTCCTTGCCAGAAAGTCTCCTAGGCAAATAATGGC